AAACGAAATGATCGATGGAACTTTTTCCATTCCGTCTATCTCTTTCGTTTGAGTATTAGCGACTACGTAGCGTTAAATTTGTTATTTCGTATTAATAGCATTAATTCGTATTAATTAGAATATTAAGATAATATTAGTTCTAAGCTGAAGAACGAAGACAACCGACGAGGGAACTTAGTTTTTTATAGGTTTAGGCTCAAGAAAGAAGTCATCCGCCGAGGGATTTTAGTATCGATAGTATTATATAGTTAAGATTTAAGTTATTTATAAGGTTTATTGTGAAAGGTGGGTAGATGTAGAACTTGTGATTCCATCTACTTGCCTTGGGCCTCCACTCGCAGCAACCTCCTCGTGGTGAGGCCTGGGCAATCGGTATTGTCATCGGTAAAGTACTATAAACTGAAGACAATATCGAGCTAATGGCTGCGAACTTCTAATCTATCTCATAAAACCACGTTCTATATTACATCGAACTAGGATTATTTCATAAATCGATATGAGATTCAAAGTGTAAAAATGTCTAGTACTCTGAATGTTTTAGAAACTTATTCGAGATAAAGATGTATGGAACTACTGAAAATTACTTTAGATTCCTTTTCCTTATTCTGTAAATTCTTTGATTGGAATATGAATGTTGCTGGAAGTATGAACATTTTCACAGGACAATGATATAAATGGAACTGTAAAACTTTTTTAAGTGTTACAGCGATATTTCGTTGGCCTCCGTATTAGCGCACTGTGCCGAACGCGGATAGCATGATGTTGTAGTCGCAAGGGAGCAATTGAATCGAATAGACGTATTGTACCGTAGCGCATCGTATTGTATTTCAAACTTCTATATTATTATAATTTATATCTATATATGTATATTCCAATAAACATACGTCAGGTAATATAAGCTTCATTTCATCGAATTGTCTTAAATATAACTGCATAAATATTGCACAATCCTATACTAATTATAGTTGTCTGGTTCAACAGGTTACTACAGAAACTAACTACTGCCTACGTCTTTTAAACCTGGGCTGTAGTAGTATCTGCAGAAACTGCCATGGTTGCTGGGGTTATTATATAATTTGCTCACGGAAGCACGTACAAGTGTCAGGTAGATTTCGACAAGTTGCACGAGCAACATTAGACCGAGCTCGAGAGTTGTACGAGCAACAACGGTAGAGGATCACGTTTCAAAACTCTTGCACATGCTCCGGGGGTTCCATGACCCCGCGTTCTCGCCACGGAATCTCTGGCGCCTCCACCGGGGGTTCCATGACCCCGCGTTCACGCCACACGGGGTTCCAGGCGCCTCCACCGGGGGCTCCATGACCCCGCGTTCTCGCCACACGGGGTTCCTGGTAGAGATGGCGTGAACTGCTACTTGTGAATCACTCGTGATTCGATCACGTTCGTTCCCAATCACGGTGATTTTTCACAGTGATTCGTGATTTCTCGTGATCGTTTCTGATTGGTGGAGAAACCTAACAGTTCTTTACACGCGACACATAATCTGTATATTTTATATTTTATATTAACGACATCAAAACAAAAATTCGAGTTATATCGTATAAAGTGAAAGAATAATTAGAAACAATGAAGAATAATGAATAAATTAATGATTATAAATTATAATCTACATGTTACCTAGCAAATCATTCTTTTAGAATTTCTTGTTTTTTCTACTGATTTTTACAAACACAGTAATGTAAGTCATTGTAAAATCATATTGAATACGTTTTTCTGTTTAAAGATTAATGACTTACGATTGCAGTGAGCAAATTCACTCAAGATAAAAAAATCGCAATCACGGTCGTGAATGAAGTTAAATCACGATCGTGATCGTGATTCGGCGATCACTGTGATAAATCACCGTTAGTGATTTTGCACGCCATCTCTAACTCTGATCCACTCGTTTCATCTAACCAATCCTGAAAACTGAATAGTACTATTATAGGAAGTTAATTGGTTAATACTGTATGTAAATTGAAAATTTAAGAAATTGATATGCATTAGTTAAAATATACTGTAACGAAATAAAACTCTGAGTTCAAAGGGATCCAAATCTTGTTTAACTAATTGTAAGAAGTGTAAATACACGAATCAATCTGTTGCGTGGGCCCTCAGGGAATCCTGAGTGGAAATGTAATTGAAGAGTGAAACGCGTTAACTTTATAGATAATTGTAAAGTAAAAGGAAATTTTAACGATACCGATAAACTGCAATAAGGATTTAAATTAAAACTCTAGAACTATATTTGAACTATTACAATAAACGATTTTAAACTAATTATAAAGGAAAATGAATTAAATTAATAAAGGTAATTTTATACGTCCTTTCCATTACAATGTTGTCGATGGAATGAATGTCTTTTATTCAAACTTCGCAATTCTGGAGCTTATGACATACACCGCTACGTGACATGAGCGAGGATCGCAACAAATCCAAGTAGATGGCGACCTCTGTGCTTAGCAAATTGTTACGATTGTTACTTCTAGGTTCACCTAACCTTTTCGCTTGGAGCGTAACGTGGGACGGTACGTGGAGTTATAGAAAATCCATAATCTTAACAAAAATCGCATGCACGGTGCCAAATATAAACATAAAATCCTATACTAAACAAATAAAGAAGAATCAAATGCATTATATTTTTATTAAAAGAGTACAATATTCCGGACATTTCGAACGAAAGAATATGCTATGCGGATGTGCAGTGTTGTCATACAATTTGTTTCTTAAGTGAATGATAGACTAATTTATATTGTGTTATATGATTTTAGTTCCAGTTTTGTAATATATACAAAAAGTCAAAATGGCTATTCGACCAGTGTACAGACCTACAATTGTTAAGAAGAGAACTAAAAAGTTCATTCGCCATCAAAGTGACCGATATAGTAAACTAAAGGTATGCTATTTTGTGTAATATATGATATTATCATCAATGTCAATATTTTCATCTTCTTACTCTTTGTTTAACTCATTAGTAGCATTAAATTGTATTAGATGAAATTAAAGATGTAAATTTTTTTAGAGAAACTGGCGTAAACCAAAAGGTATTGATAACAGAGTTCGTAGGCGTTTTAAGGGACAATATTTGATGCCCAATATTGGTTACGGAAGTAACAAGAAAACACGTCATATGTTACCAACTGGTTTCAGAAAAGTCTTGGTACACAATGTTAAGGTAAAAATAATACATTTATACATCTTAATCAGTTTGTAGCATCCGACTAAACTTGTACCAACAGTATTTAAATAATAGTGTTGGTTTTTTGGCCTTTTCATTAAATAGATAATATCTATTGCAAAATGATACTGAAAATTAATGATATTGAATGATATTGAAAATTAATCATAGAATTTTAGAAAAAAAGATATTTGTGTTCCCTTAAAATATTTTAATATCTATAATTTGCTGACATATGAAACTAATATAAACAAATCAAATCATTTGCAATAATATTATTTAATTATTTTGCTTAATTACAATGAGATTTCTTGGGGGTTCACAGGAATTGGAAGTTTTAATGATGCAGAATAGGAAATTCTGTGCTGAAATTGCTCACGGTGTAAGCAGTAAAAAACGTAAAACCATTGTTGAGCGTGCCCAACAACTTTCCATTAGAGTGACTAATGCCAGTGCAAGATTACGTTCTCAAGAAAATGAATAAGATCTTATACTTATTTGTTTTAATAATAAACTATTTACAGTATGTTTAAGTGTTTTAAAATTTTTTTCCTAATTCTGTCTCCAAAATAATACTTTTGAGACTCGAAGAAAGAATAAAAATAACTTCTCATTAAAATACTGTTATCCATTGCAATTGTTTTCTAATTATTGCTACTACTGAGAACAGGATAAATCCTTCTTTGATATTTAAAATACTTTAATACTTAAAATAGTTTATTTATTTTATACAAATCACAGTATACAAAGGATTATGTAAAATTAATAAAAAAGTATTAAGGATTACATTTGTTGAAATCTTAACAAATAACATATTTTATTAGTTCTATTATGACAATGTTGGTAATAATGATAGCCAACAAATAACAATAACTTACGATAAACAGTTTTTTATAATTAATGACAGCGTATAACGAAATTTATTGATAATATGATATGCTATAATACATATATGAATACTCATTACATTAAATGTAATGTTTTTTTTTAATTATAAAATACGATGAAGTTTGAGCTAATTTGCTGAGACTCAATGAACATGTAAATTGCAAATCTAGAAGTACCTGTCTTTTATGTACCTCTAGAACCAAAGGTAAGTAAAAAAGACGTTGTTTAACAACTTTCAGTACAATGAAGGTATACCACTAATACATAATACTGTGGTAATTCATTCAGTTCGTAACAAGTAAACCAACATGTATAAATAATATATTCTATTTAATTTGTTTTAAGTACCCTCTATTTTTCAGAAGATCGTCCAGCGCTTCCTGGGTATAATATACAACAAAGTCAGTTGACGCAACACCCTCGAATACTGCGTATACAGAAGGTTTCAAATTGTAGAAAAATAGTGGTTGTCCTTTTAACGCGAAGTCTCTTGTCAACGTTTCGATTACCGTTGCTGCCGTGAAATCTGCTCCATAAATGTGGGAGCAGTCGATTACAACTGGAGTAGCAACGTCTCCAGCCCGTTGACTGTACTTTGTTACCAAATTTCTTACATAATCTACCGATGGAAAAATTAAGCATCGGTCGGGTGTTAACATGAGATATTCAATACCATGTCGCGTCTGTAACATATAAAGATGACACATAATTTCCTATTAAAACAACTTCTGATATTTTTTAACCAGTCAGTTGTGGCGACCTCTTTTCAGAGCGCGCACCTATGTGTGTCGCGAGAATCCAGCGATAACGCATGATGGATATAGTCGTCATGACACAAACTACTGCCATTTCTCCATGACGGATATAGTCGTCAAACACAACTGACTGGTTAATCGCATGGAAATATTGGATGTGGTACATACGGTAAGTTTTTCTACGGATATTTTTGGACGAGCTGCATGGTAAAGAATAAATAAAATATTTATTCCAATACCACAAAGAATTCCAATTTCTAGTTGTAATATTAAACATGCGATAAACGTTCCCAACCCTGGGATTAAATCTGACTCTATAAAAAGAAACAGTAGTGTAAAGGAAAAGTACCAGTTTTTTTTCAAATGTTTACTTTAGATTAGTATTTTAGATGAAATGTTTACTTTTCGTTCTCCACATTGGTTTTACTACTTTAACTTCTACCATAAATATTACTGCAGCTATAATAATGGCTGCTAATGTAGCTTTTGGTATGTAGCTAAAGTATGGTGTGAGAAACAAAAGGGCTAATATCACTAGAGCACCTAAAATTTAATGAATATGTTAAAATGTCTCTTCTAGAGAATAAGAAGAAAGGGAAGTTATAACTATGTACACTCAAATCACCTGTATAAATACCACCCATGGGGGTTCTAACTCCAGAAGCATTGTTTACTGCACTTCTGCTAAGAGATCCTGAACCAGGAAAAGCTTGAACAAAAGAATTGCCAATATTTGACATTCCAAGTGCGATTAGTTCTTGTGTTGCATCAACTGATTTTCCATTTGCTGAAAGAAATAATGTTACAATTTACTTAAATCTCTAATATAATGTTATAACTTTCTAAATAATTTAAGATTATATCCACGAATTCAATAGGCTTGAGTACAATATTTAAATTCATTAAAACATGTTGATACAAAAAAAACACAAGAGATAAACTTACAAAATGCTTTGCAAATAGCAATGTCTTCCATTAAGGAAATGAGTGGTAAAACCAGAATACCACTTCCCAAATTTGAAACCATCTCGACAAAAGTTACTGTTGTATTATCACTTTTGGTATAACCAAATGGTGGTAATTGTACCATAGGCATACCCCCTGGTATGTGTCCTGTAAGAAAATTAAATGTGTTTACAACTGAATGAATATTTGTATAAAATTGAGTATTTGTACGACTTAAATATCTGAAACATTAAGAGAATCATTTCTCTTCTCCGCCATGAATACTTAAAAGTATTAATCCTACTTTACTTCCTCTTACCAACCAATTTGAAGGGAGATTCTCCTTTAAAACTATAGCCCAAAAGACCACAAAATACCACCAGAAACGCATTCCGTGATGTACCAATTAACCAAATGATTTTATTTATAGTACGATATTTTGAGGTTTGCAATTCTTCGTCTACAGGGCCAATTTTGTACGATGCTAGAAGCTGCAATAGAACAAATAGGCAGAACTTAATTTGCTATGCTACTGTAGCATAGTAAATTAATAAATATCATGAAGAATTAACAAGTGTTAAATTATTCATCATATAATCACCCTAAGAAGTAAAAGAAGAGCTATACAAGTAGCACCGAGTGCAGCATCCCAAGCAGAAGTTTGGTGTACCTCTCCGACAAGACTTTTCCACATTTCCAGAAACTGTGCTCCTTTGGCGGGTACACCAAGGATGTCTTTTATTTGTGATGTAATAATTATTAAAGCTACTGCTGATGTAAAGCCTGAACTGACTGGGCCAGACACAAAGTCAATTAAAAATCCTGCAATAAACAAGATAAGCATCATTCAGTCTGAACTAACTTTATAAAACAGATAATTGTATCTGCTCACCAAGACCAAATATACCCATTGCTAGTTCTATCACTCCAGCTAAGAAACAAAGTAATACTGCATGCTGTATTGGTGCATCAAGATGCGAAAGAGTTTGAGAAGTGAGTAAGGAAATAATGGCAGTAGGTCCTAATGGTGTGTCCTTGCAGGATCCAAATATAATATAAATAAAACAGCCTAAAAAGCTACCATATAATCCATACTGAAAAATAAATTCCATATATTAAAATTGTTCTCCGCGTCTATTTTGCTAGAATAATTATTACAAACTTCTGACTTTCATGCGTATTTACACTACATATAAACGCGCAGAACGGATTTTTTAGTAAACAATCAAATAAAACAATATCTATGCAGTAAGTATATTCTGTTTCTATATAAATCAGTTGATAAAAATTTGAATTTTGCGTAAATGTTCACAGTGCAGATACTATTTATTCAGTGTTCTTTTTTTTTTCTTTCAATGAATCGTATATTAGTATAATGCACAGTGGTCTGAAAACACGTTTTTATTGGCCAAAAGTCGAAATGTCATCGAAACTTTCTAATTCTAAACGTTGATAATCAAGGGTTTTTTCGGTCACTGCCCAGATAGCACATGACGCCTTGGAGACGGCTTAAAGGCGCCTTAGACCTAAAATTACCGTAAAATGGGCGTCTTTAAGACGTCATATGCTATCTGGGTGATAACGAATTTGACACCAATAATTCCCAATTCAATATGGCAGATTCAATACTATGCACATATGGTCTGGAAACTACTTATTTTATAATTACAATTATTTCATTATATATAATTATAGTTGCTACGTTAATTCCAAATTATCCAAATATTACAAAAAAAATTTCTAAACATATCAGTCCAAGCCGCTATTCAAAAGTTAAGCGGCCTAAGTACGTGCCTGGAGACTATTCAGACTCCAAAATACCGTGGGCTTCTATTTTTTAAAAGTCGCACATATTATAAAAGGTTGTAAGAGGTTGCACCTAAAATTTATGTACTCCTCTTAGCAATTCTTTAAACTTTCATATAAAACAAGTCTGATGCTTATCACTCTTAATCACTTTTTTCAAACCTTCCTCAAATTCGAAATTGCTATAAACTTTGCACTGCTTGTACATGGATTAAAAGAACTCTTAAAATACAATTAAATAATCGAAATATAGTTACTGACATGCATAAAACTATAATTCAAATCTTTTATTTACTGTCCTACAATTAGTAATTGGAATAATTGGTTAAAGGATTCGGAAAAAGGATTACACAATTATCTCAAATGAATAAATATTTTGGATTTCGAAGGTTTAAAGTATTCTTTACTTTATAGCAGAAACAAATTTGTCAAAATATTGAACTTCAAACAATGACTTTTGGCCAGTAAAAACGCGTTTCCAGACCACTGTGCACTAGTAGAAAATAATTTTTCCGGTTAAATTAATATACCTGAGGCGGCAAACCAGCCACATTAGCGTAAGCTAATGACTGTGGAATAACAGTGAGGCCGACAGTGACACCAGCAACAAGATCACCGAGCGTGTCCTGTACATTGTATCTCGGCAACCAGTTTAAAATCGGTAGCCTCTTATAAACGGTTTTCTTCGTGCAAACTGACCTCAGGCGTCGCCTGGTGCACTGCAACGCCGAATTTAAGAGGCTGTCCTTGTTCTCAATCACGTCATCCCCCGGTTCCTCCACAACTGGTGAAAAACAAATTTATCCTGACAATATCCGCGACACGTTTCGTACAGTCAAATAAATCCCTTCGATCTTTTCCATCGACCGTAAAGAAAACTTCGAAACGGCCAATTACCGAGGTGCGTTTAAATACAATGAACTGTTCGGTTCAAGAATCACTTAACACCGGATGTTAAGCTTGGCGAGAAAAACAATCCGTGTATCCAAAGTTCAATCTCGTGACGCAAAAACGTGATTCGTGTAATAAAAGCAAATCCGAACCGGAAGATATGAAGTTAGAGTTAGCAATGCGCGGTTTGTGAATTTTACTTCGTCTGTTTTTTTCCCAAACGTTATTAACAGTTTTTTTTACGACCAGTACCGGAGTAGCAAAATGGAGAACGGTTGCAGCTGGTCTTATTCACAATATATGTATATGCATGAATTGAAGATCAACTTGTGTTTAGAGATTCTTATTATGGATTGCTTGAAAATTATTGTGAAAATAAAATACTCTTAATAGTGCAAAGTTAAACGTTTCTTCATGAATATAATAATCCGGATAGCAGATGACTGTCAATGACGCTTTGAAGACGGCTTAAAGACGCCTTAGACGTAAAATAGACGTAAAATGGGCGTCTTTAAGGCGTCATGTGCTATCTGAGAAGTTTGATTAGAAATGACGTGAAAAGTATGATGGGGATATTCTAAGTTAGTAGTAAATAAGATTAAGCGATCGGTTACTGTAGATATTTACGTATAAAATCTGAAGACCCTTGAATTCCTTGGTGACTGTTATACGAGTCCCGCAGAATTTGAGAATTATTCGAGTTGCTGAGATTCAAACTATCTCTGGATCCGTTGAATCCATGATTCGTGTACGACTCGGTTCTATGTTCATTTGTAATTCCTTTACCGTTCGCTTTGCTCATCCTGAAAAAGAAAATAATATAAATTATTTTACAAAATTTATTGCAGACATATTAAACGTAAACGTCACACTTCGACCGAATTATTTAATATATCGTTCGACCTTTTTACACAAACATCAATTGTACATTCGATTTTATAACTGTAGTTACAATTTATGAGTTTAAACACGAATTTATAAGCCATGTATAGTACATATATATGATTAGAATAATTCCATCCTAATGCATTGTACTTTACGATACTTATAAGTCATTGTTACCAACGAAGTTTCGATATATCATCGATTTTTCTCGATCGATTTTCATTAAATGGCTCATTGAGTGCACCATAAATTGTGGATCGTGTATTAGAGCACGTATGCAACGAACGGTTTGCGTCTTGACGTAATGGAACGAACGTCATCGATGAATGCCACGCAATACATTGCCCCAATTTGGTGTGATGGAATTCGCAATAAATATAAGGAGATCAAACAGCGAGGAAATTAATAGTAGAAAGTACGTTTCGCAGATTCTCTTCTTCCTTATTACTATATCAAGTATACACCTTCAGAAGAAATGTATATTCTATAAATAAATGAAATAGAGTATTTTATTAAAAAACCTGTATTAATTAAAGTTTAAACCTTCTGTATTAAATTTCCGAAATATCACGTCCTCTTTGCTGTTTAATTTTGTACTGAAAATCGGATGATTCTGATCTATCACTCGAAAACTGTATAAAAATTTCACGTATAATTTAAGGAGACCACACTTTTATGGATTATTTAAAAATAAAAATACAACAATTGAATAGTTACTGTTTTCTTGTGTGCCACTCAATTGCATTTGTTACAATGAGTTGAATATGTACAGATAGAAATGCATCAGTAGAGAAAGAGAACCGGAAGTAAAAGAAATTCCAACACGTGCGACTGAATCATTTCATAATAGGGGCATTCCACGCGAAATCGGACACTTTTTGAAGTAACATCTCGGATTTTGTTGACAGAATATGTTGTAGTCTTTAGTGATATGTAAACGTATCCCGAAGGATTTCTGAAAATTGTTTTAATTGTTGATTCTACAGTTCTTTGAATACAACCCTTTTTCAATAAATCATAACTGTTGAACTAACAAACCGATCAAAATGGGCTTTGTGGGTGCTTACAGTGGAAACATAACAGTACCTAATAAAAATTATTTAAAATAAATATTATAATTTTTGTCTCCACTATAAGCACCCACAAAGATCATTTTGATCGCTTTGTTAGTTCAACAGTTATGATTTATTGAAAAAAGGTTGACACTATATTTCAAGCAGCTATAAAATCAACAATTTTAAACATTTTCAAAAATCCTTCGAGATACGTTAATAATATCACTAAAAATTATAACATATTCAAGTGTCGACAAAATCCGAAATGTTACTCCAAATAGTGTCCCATTTCAAGTGGACTGCCCCAATAATTAACAGGATAATGATTAAGTTTATAGACGAGCTATCGCAAGCGCTAAGAAGTAAGTACAAATATTAAATCTATTGAAGAACTTATAGTAATTAAGATACGTTTTGTTATATGCCACCGTTTACCGCAAATATTAAATTTCCGCGGATTTTCCACGGCGAATATCTTAACGATGTATCGTAATCTGAATGAATCATTTACGATCAGCTTCGCCATTTATTGCCCGTCGCTGAGCCAGGAGCAAATATTCCAGACTGTTTTGTTGAAATGTCACGAATATTGTGCTCAACGACGGCATCGGATCTCTAAACAGTTGTGACAACAGCACGCCGGTAACGTTTACTTGTAATTTTCGTCAATCGGTCACATAAAACGTTAAATTACACCTTGAAAAACAAGCTGCCGCGGCGTTTAACCCCCACCCCTCGACCATCCACCTGTCGAATCTTTTTGTGTCTGTCTTTGATTTTGACTTACGACTCGCTCTAGTGAGTGAACAAATGAAGCAATAACAAAGTTTTCGGTTTTCAAGTTTTTCGTACGTATAACTTTAAAAAATGAATACATTAATACTACTAATAGACAGCGGACGTTTATGTAAACTCACTCTTTCGTCGATCAAGTAACACAAGCAGGTGTTGAATGGAAATTTGTTTTTCCTATTAACGGGTCCATTAAGATGAAAATAACACAAAAATTCTCTCTGTGATTATTAATGAAGCTTATTTTAACGCGTGGATGCATGAACATCTGCAGTCTAATTATCTGAACGCTATTAAAAATTTATTTCTAGGGTGCATTGATATTTGTACTACTAAAATAAATAGGTTAGAAATATAACTGAATATTTCTTACTAAATTTTCGTATTGATTTTCGATTATTCAAAAGTATTCTGACCCAGGTGGCACATAACGCCTTGAAGACGCCCATTTTACGGCTATTTTCGGTTTGAGGCGCCTTTAATCCGTTTTCAAGGCGTCATTGGGTGTCATGTGCTATCTGGGGAATGCTATTAAAACTTTATTTCTATACTCCATTCCACGAGTGAAGATATTTGTTCTGCGCAGCTTGTCCCCATGACCTTGTTTAAAGTGGCGGAATCTTCATGGGCTCTGCTGGGGGTACGTGGTAGGGGATGTGTACAGTGGGGACAGACCGAATGAATTCATGACAGCAGGCGTCGACTGCCACTACGCAGAAACTACGAAAATTAATCGACAAACAAGTACCTTCTCTCGTGGAACGGAGTATAGGGTACTTTGATATCTCTGCTCCTAAAATAAATAGGTTAGTAAGGCCAATACAGGTGTATCAAGAAATATAATCGAATATTTTTTGTCAAATTTTGGTATTAATTTTCAATTATTCAAAATTATTCCGAACGCTATTAAAAACCTATTTTTTAGAGGCTTTGATATCTGTGCTCCTAAAATAAGTATGTTGGTAATGTTTGGTGTATCGAGAAATATAATTGAATATTTCTTGTCAAATTTATTATTGATATTAAATAAAAATCTGGGTTGTTTTAATAATGTTCCTTCTTGTTCTCCAATATCCTCCGTATTTTTCAAAGGGGAAACGGCGGGAATATGTTTCGAATTCAAACTGTGTAATCAGTTTATTAAAAAAAAAAAAATGGACGGTGGTTTATTTATTGGCGCAGCTAATACTAGTCTGCATTGGTATGTGACGCATATCTAATATAAAAAAAAAATATCGTTTTTTTATGAACTTCCGACAAGAAGATTAATTGTTAATGGTGCATATGCATCGCGGATAATTCGTCGAAGGATAAGATTATTACATAATTTTGCGATCAGTCGTTTCTATCAGTCAAATATTTGTTACGATTAAGTGATCAACGAGAAACCTGAGCAAACGCGCCATCGTCGTAAATCATAATCCAACCGACAAACATACGACACATCATTAACCGTGCAGCTTCTTCGCGTTTCGTAATAGGACTAATTAAGAAAAAAAATGTTTTCAAAGACGTGTCATTCATATCGTAACAAGACATGAATTCCACGGAATCTATTACACGGGGCTCGAAGTTATTCAAACAATTCAGCGTGTTCGAGAAACTAAAGTATTTTTGTCTACAAAAAGCAATAATGTTTATCGACTAGCATGTCAAAGCTCCATTTTGTTTCCGGCAAAGCACTTCTATGAAATCTTACAGGCAGTTAATAATTACACTGTTTAACAAATTTTAAGTTTTTTCCTACCTCATGACCGTTAATACGTGTTTCTGATATCAATTTCTGAAAATCAGACAACTATTTTTAAATGAAATTGAAAATTTTCAACCTTGGAGATGTATTGTGCTTTTATAATAATAGCTATTCAGTTGCCTTTGACACGAAATAATTCTCTGACCTCTCCCGAACAAAACGATGTAAATTGGTATTATATTATATAAACATATAAATATATTTAAATAATGATCAAAGTGAAAAGGATGCTAAAAATACATCAATTTTTGCTTATATTCTTTAGTTTATTACAAACTCACAAAAATTGGTGCGTTTTTAGTATCCTTTTCACTTATATCGTTATTTAAACATATTTAGATGTCTGTAACAGATCACATCATTTCGTTCGAGAAAGAATAGCTATTATTGTAAAAGCACAATACACATGTAAAGTTAACAATTTTCAATTTAAACAAAATGTATTTTTTCAAAAACTGTACGTGCTGAGAAAAAACGATTAATGATCTATCAGTGTTATTTAAAGCGTTCTACATCTGAAACAAAATGATATATACGTCAATATTGTAAAACTAAAATGTTAAGAATGAAGCAAAAATGTGTGCAGTAAAGATTATTTATCCGCCGCCATATTGGTAACGTTTGATTTTACAAACAAGAATCTAATACTACTTATTTGAAAAATATTAAAAAAAACTAATTACACATGTATTCAATATCATTAATCAATCGATAGTTTTTAGGCCTTCGATACGATACGTATTTACTAGAGATTGTTTCTTTATTCTACATAATACCGCTTTTATAATTATTAAATAGCGGATGTTTATGCAAATTCTCACGTTCGTAAACCACTTTACAAAGAACAAGATCAAAGAAAAACGTATTTCAATAATTTAAGAAAACTACATATTGCACTAAGAACAAAGTATAGACTGCATTAAATTTCTTTTATCACCTTTTTGTATCATTGTTTCTTGAAATATTTGCATACGACACAGATGCATAAAATTTGCATTCCAATTATAACCATCTACGTACTTCATTGATATTTTTCCTTTCAATTCAAAGTAACAATATATATCACAAGGTAACGAGAACAAGCAACTTTCTATTAGAACTAATTAACATTTGTATTATGTATTAAAGTCGAATTGTTAATTGTACCGATAATTGATCCACAATTGTGTTTTCACAAACTCGTAACACAGTTTAAATTCGAAATATCTAACCGTCCTTTTCGCCTTTCCAAATGGCGGCGAGCATCGAAGAACGAGAAACGATCGAGGAAGTACGTATTACTGAAACGACTTTTCATTTCTTCGAAAATAAGTATTAA